GTTGTGAGCCACCATGTGGGTGCTGGGAATTGAACTCAGGACCTCGGGAAGAGCAGTCAGTGCTCTTAAACATTGAGCCATCTCTCCAGCCCCATAAGAAATTTTTTCAATTTACATCTCTGAAGTAAATTGGTACTCCAAGATCAGATGTGTCTCATTGTGTCTCATCTCATTTCATGAGATGTCTCTCATGAAAACCTTTAGCTTAACAAATCTTTTTAAATGCCATGTTCTATACATCTTTGAAGTGTTTGAAGACCATTTATCTATCTAAAATATACCTATTTAACCTACAAAACATTTGTGTGTGTGTGTGTGTGTGTGTGTGTGTGTGTGTGTGTGTGTATGGAGTGGTGGTGCAGACCATTCTCTGGCATCCTCATACACACACATACATGTACACACACACACACACACACACACACACACACACACACACACTTTTTTTTTTCTGAGACAGGGTTTCTCTGTGTAGCTTTGTGCCTTTCCTGGATCTCACTCTGTAGCCCAGGCTGGCCTCAAACTCACAGAGATCCGCCTGCCTCTGCCTCCTGAGTGCTGGAATTAAAGGAGTGCGCCACCACCACCCGGCCAACCTACAAAACATATGTAATGTGACTGCAAGTTTAAATATTATATATTAACTACTAACTTTGTTTCTTATTTATACATTCCATTTTTAAATGAGCTACATAAGCACAATATCCCTACGAAGAGTAGAAACAGACATTCAGTATTACAAAAATTACTTTAAATTTGTATCAATATACTATATTCCCGGAAATGGTGACAAACATCCATAACCCACCAAATAACCTACATCTACCCACACCCCAGCTCTTGGGAATGTGGACATTGTTTTCTCTAGACTGCTTCCTGCTGTCTGTGGGTGAGGCAGCTGTAGGGTCCCAGAGAGAAATTTTGTGGTAATGACTTAGTCCTGGGAAGACCATCCATAATGTTTGCTGGTAGATGTCACTCATTAAGGTTCAGGAGGTCTCCCTTGATCAAACCTGATCCATATTATTCCAGAACGAATCCACGGCCTCTTCTCTCCTGTGGAAACAAGTCTCTAAAGCAGTTTTGATTTCCATTTGAAAAATACATTTTTTGTACTTCCATTTCAAAGACAACGCATTCCTAAAGTATCTAGGCTGGTGTATTTCAGCACTCCCTCCCTCAGCCCCAGGTCTCTAAGCTTGCTTGCTTCTCAGCATTTAAAAAATTCTAAAATAACACAATAACCTACAGGATCCAGACTCCCTGGGTATTTCCCATCTCACGTGGCTTTTTTCTTTTATATTACTTTTACTCTCTCTTTAAAGGTTTTACATTATTATTTTTAAACAATTTCTTTCTTTCTATAACTGTCCATACCCTTTTTCTTTCTTTCTTTCCTTCTTTTTTTTAAAAATTTATTTATTTATTATGTATACAGTGTTCTACTTGCATATATCCCTTCAGGCCAGAAGAGGGCATCAGATCTCATCACAGATGGATGCGAGCTACCATGTGGTTGCTGGGAACTGAACTCAGGACCTCTGGAAGAACAGCCAGTGCTCTTAACCTCTGAGCCATCTCTCCAGCCCCCTTTTTCTTTCTTAAGCCTACCCACATTGTAAAACACACTGGAACCTGTTTCCTGGGTTTTTCCATCTGGAACTCTTTTACTGTGTATGTTTTAGCCTTTTTTGATCCTGTGAGCAAACCTTTAAACTGCTAACCGACACCTGGGTCCTCTGCAAGGCTCTCTTGGTTGGCTCTGCCCGCTTCTCAGGTTGTGAAAGCCAAGCCTAAAACCCACAGCCCAGTCGGAGGTGGGTGACCAAGACCTGCATTCAGCCTTCCTAGGGCTCTGGAGTGCCGATGCCTGGGATGTGGCAGGCATCGTTTACTTAGTGTTTTGTTTATATTTAGCAGGAAAAAAGCTGTTTAAGTGCTCTGCTGTACAGCAGGGTTTCTTAGAGGAGCCGTATCCTCTTTTTTTTTTCCCAGCTTTTTCAGGACCTAGGGATAGTCGAGCCACACATTGGTGTGCCAAAATGTTGTTGATTGTTTTTATTCTTTTGGGGGGCTGACCACCTAGCTCCCAAATAAATCACACATGGAGGTTTATTATTTCTTATGAATACACGGTCTTAGCTTGACTTGTTTCTAGACAGTTTTTCTTAACTTTAAATTAACCCATCTACCTTTTGCCTTTAGGGTTTTACCTTTCTCTGTTTCTGTATAACTTTCATTTCTTTCTTTTTTTTTTTTTTTTTTGGTTTTTCGAGACAGGGTTTCTCTGTGCAGCCCTGGCTGTCCTGGAACTCAAGCTGTAGCCCAGGCTGGCCTAGAACTCACAGAGATCCTCCTGCCTCTGCCTCCCAAGTGCTGGGATCAAAGGCATGCGCCACCACTGCCCGGCCACCAGTTTCTCACGTCTTCTGTTCCTCCATCCTCCATCTTTCCTTCCTCTTCTCCTCTCCTGACCTCATTCAAATCCACATACAGTCTGCAAAACTTTTCCTTGCTCCTAACTCCTTGGCCCAAGTAGTCTGCCCTGCCATCTACAGAAATGCTGTCTTGTTCTCTTTTCTCCAGCCATGTGACTGACCAGACCAGGAATTCTGCTCCAGTCCTTACCGCACCTGGTCATGCAAAAAACTCTTTGCTCTAGAAGTTGCTCCAGGGCTGGAGAGGAGGGGAGATCTGAGCTTGGTGTGCACAAGAAGCAAAGCTCTGCACCTAGGAGCCAGGCTGTCTCCGAAAGGATGTTTTACCTTAGTTTAGGGGCTTCGGGCCTAGAGGGTGGTCTGGCCAGCTACTCTGTTATTGCTTGTCCTTGGATGCTTTGTTTGGAGCTGGCCCTATCTTTGGATGTAACTAAAGGAGATATTTGCAAAAGCCAGATACCCAATTCAAATGCTAAACAGGGAGCAGGGAGGCCGGAGGCCTGAGGCCTTGTCTATATGACCTTATCCAAGTACTTTGAGTGTATATGTCCAAGGAGTGGTCCACACACACACTGTTCTTGGGGAATTGTGAGCACAAGAAATTCATGGCAAGAGCCGGGCAGTGGTGGCACACACCTTTGATCCCAGCACTCAGGAGGCAGAGCCAGGCAGATCTCTGTGAGTTCGAGGCTGGTCTATGGATCCAGGACAGGCACCAAAACTACAGAGAGAAACCCTGTCTGGAAAAACAAACAAACAAACAAAAAAGTAATTCATAGCAAGAAACAGCTGAATATTAGAAGCTGAATAACACCAAATATTCCCTGATAAATGGCTTCCCTCTAGAAAAATTCCTTGACCTTTCTAGGTATAGCTTTATTATATACAGCTGAATCTCTATAATATAGTCTTGACGCTTGCGGCAAATAATGATAATATTCTACAACACAATGGTGTAGCAGGTTCTGCTCTGGATTCCTCTGTCTCTCTGTGAATATTTTTCTTAGTTTAGCGGGTTTCATTAGCTTCATTCGTTAGCAGGTCTTTCTAAGGCTTGTATCTTATCAGTCAATTTTTCATACTTGGTACAGATATCAAACCACTTTTTTTAAAGATAAAGTATGATTTACCAAACTGATAATTATAATCAACATTATGTCAATCCCAACTAAACTGGTTAGCCTTTCATTTAATTTTTCCATGTTCAAACTGTCCATTGTGGAGCCACACAGAGTCCTCCCTACATCATAATATTGCCCATTCTCTTTATTTTATTTTATTTTTTTCAAGGCAGGGTTTCTTTGTGTAGCTTTGCGCCTTTCCTGGGACTCACTTGGTAGCCCAGGCTGGCCTCGAACTCACAGAGATCCGCCTGGCTCTGCCTCCCCAGGGCTGGGATTAAAGGTGTGCGCCACCACCGCCCGGTGTCATTCTCTTTCTTTAAAGATTTATTTATTATATATATGGTGTTCTGCCTGAAGGCCAGAAGAGGGCACCAGATCTCATTACAGATGGTTGTGAGCCACCATGTGGTTGCTGGGAATTGAACTCAGGACCTCTGGAAGAACGGCCAGTGCTCTTAACCTCTGAGCCATCTCTCCAGCCCAATATTCCCCATTCTTAACTTGGGAAAGACACATATAAAACCTAATTCCCTCCTTAAGAATCCCCAGATGTCTCACCGGATCTGCTGACTTTTCATTTTCTCCACATCAGCAACTAGGGCTGGCTGAGCTGTGTGGGGTGTGGGGTGTGGCCGGCGGCGGCGGCGGTGGCAGCGCTTGCCAGGCTGTGTGGGGTGGGGCGCCCAGGCAGTCAGGCTATCACTGCAGGAGCTGCGGCCGCCGCTGGCTGCTGCTGCCCTGCACAGGCCAGGCTGGGCACCCGCAGCCGATCGCATGTAATGGGCTGAGGCCCGGTGGCCACACCAGGCGCCGCAGAACCCGAGCAGGTGCTCCGGGTGTGGAAGCGGCCGAGCGGGCGTCGTCCAGGGAGGGGAGGGGAGTGCAGCGAAGGCCCGTACCCCCCCCCGCCCCGGGGAGAGGGAGGAAGGAGCCTGGAAAGGCAATGCGCAGGACGGGCAGCAGAAGCCCAGGTGATGGCACCGGGTAGCGTGGCGGAGGGCGCCGGAAAGACACAGCCAGCCGGGCGTGGGGACGCCAGGCGCTGCGAAGCTGGGGGCGAGCAGCTGCCCTGAGATCTTCTACCCACACGATGGCTGTATCTAAATTTTTCTCCTATTAATCAGAACTCGGGCATCACACATCGGGGTAAGAACCTGGCTGGTCAGAGAAGCCGCCAAGAAGCGGCCAGCGCCCTCCTCCCCCTCTCCTTCCCCGATTCAAATGCACCCAGGAGTCTTTCAGGACCCTCCCTACTACTTCCTGTCTCTCTGTGTATCCCGAGTCCTCCAAAACCTCTATGGCTGATCCTGGACAGCCAGGCGCTAACTCTGTGCCCTCGAGGCTGTGGCTGGACGCGTCTCTGCCCCCGCCCAGCCCCCAGACCAATCTCCCACCCACGGCACCGCAGCCGCTCATAACAATCGTCCAGAGGCGGAGCAGCCGCACCGTGCGGCCTGCGCTAAGAACCCCTGGGGCCGCTCGTGCGTCTTGAACCAGCGGGTTTGCACCATCTGTGCACGGCCGGGTGCTTCCAACGCGGGCGCATCGGCCTGGGCGGCGGGCCGGCCTCTCCCCCCCCCCGC